CCGGCGAGACGTCCAGACCTTCCGATGCGATCGGTTTTGACAAATCGTTTTTATCAAAGACTAGAAATTGTCGTTCAGATACTCTGCGAACAATCAATTCATTCAATTTAACTCATTGTTTAATTAACAAATGGTAACATTCAATACCTGCTGAAACCAGTGACGATCACAAGCGCTCCCTTCAGCGCCCAACAGACTCTACCGCCGCGACTGCCCTGAGTGGCCAAACCCTCGGCCACCAGTTTTGGCTCTTCTTCTCGGGGGTTAAAGATCCGTAGCTTTTGATCCTTTGAAAGCGTTGCCAACAGATCTCCGTCTGGACTCCAAGACATGCTAAACAACGGTTCCGAATGAGCGGTAATCTTGAGCTTCGGTTCCATTGTCTGCACATTCCATATAATGAGTTCAAAATCGGTGGCAAATGAGGCCAAAACGTGTTTGGCGTTGGGATGGTATGCGATGATCGTTATGCGGTCGTCGTGTGCGTGCATTTCGGACTCAAATGTGTCCACATTTTCGGTCAAACCGTTTTCGGGTATTCGCCAGAACTGAATCATTCCGTGATCGCAGGCGACGGCCACCAGATGTTCGTCGAACGGATCGAACGAGAAGTCGCAGATCGTGTGACCGCAGACCAAATGGGGTATAACACCGCCGCTGAGTCTCACGCCTTTGGCGACGTTGAGTACAGCCAATTGATTACACGCGGGCCCTATCGGTACGGCCGCGAACAGTGAGTTCACTTTGAAACCATCGCATTCGCCGGGAATTGTTTTACTCAAGCCGTTAAAGTTTGTGATGTGTGTCTCGCGGCCAGAGATCGTGCCCTTCAAGTGGCGAAACTTTGTGGTGCGAACTGAATGACAACATTTGGTTAATTAAAATCACATATATTTCTATCAAAAAACACAATTACTTGTGAACCCTCTTCGTTGCGGTTGTGGAGGTCGAGGGCTGGGAACGGATACTATGTTAACGTTATCGTTGCTCTTCTTATTGGTGTCATTATTTGTTTGGTTTAAATTGACATCTCTTTCGTTGGGTTTGGAGTTTTCAATCAACTGTTTGAGACTCGCGTCGACATCAATGCCGTCTTTCTCGCAAATGGTCAGAAATTGGTCCACTTCTTGATCGGTGGTCTCTATCTTGATGTCAGCGCCCAGTGTTTTGCCAAAGCGGACCAATTGTTCGCGTTTATTAATGTTAGGATTCAGACTAATGGTCGGTATTTTGTTGTCATTCTTCTGCAGCCAATCATCTAAAGCGATGTTAGAGTCGGGAGACTTGGTTTCGGGGAATAGATCCGAATGAAACTCTCTGTACGTCTTGCGGGGCACTCGATAACTGACTGGTGCTATACTGTCGGCGCCCAGAAGTACAATGCGGTTCACTTCGGTCTGCATTATGTTTAGCGCCCGTTTCGGCACAACAGTCGCCCCTTTGATCTGCAAATCGATTGACTTCTTGGTGGCAATATTGGGGTCCAACTGAACGGTGCCGGCAATCAGATCGTTAACCTCGTAGTGACTGAGGGCTGAATCGTTGCGACCGGCGATGAACAGCAATTGAGTGTCGAAATCAAATAACGGAATCCAAACACCGGCCGACGGCTCGAACTCATTCATAGCGGACACCGGCTTCTGGTGGGCCCGAGTGTCCCACAGGAACGCCTCTCTGGCCTTACGGCGGTTGAAACCGCATGACATGACGTACGGCCGGTCGCCCAACCAAATCACACGCGAGTCCCGATCGTTGTCGTGACCCTTGAACTCGACGGCGAACGCCTGCGAGCCGTCGACTCTCGGGTCCCATATCTTGACGCGACGACTGTCGCCGCCGTCGCTCAAGGCGTACAGCTTTCCGTCATAACTGCAGTCAATGCTCTGAATTCGCGAGCATTTGCTCGACTCGATAAACGGCTGGCCTTTGGTTGTGTCCCAGAGCTTGAGCTGAGTTGTGGTGCCGACGGCCAGTATGTTCTCTACGGTTGAGTGGAATTGAATCAAATCGACCCCTTCTTCGTCACGGAATGATTGAATGGCATTCTTTGGAGTGACAATCGTTGGACTCACTTCTGGGAACTGCCAGATATGGATCTGTCCGGAGCCCGAAGACGTGGCCAGAATGCCGTCATCGAAGGGCGAGAAGTGTAGATCAGTTAAATCGCCTGTAAATGGAAACACATATCCATTAAATGATTGATTATAACCACATTTAAACTTTTATATTGACTGCATTTAAATAGCATTAAAGTCTGATTAGACTCAAAGACATAGCGAATGATCTGACAATAAATTGATTACAACTTTTTTACAAACATTTTTAAATTTAATTGTAAATTATATTTTTTATATTGATTTCTATGTAAAACAGCTTTTGTTGACAGAGATTCAAATAAAGTTTGCTTTGATTTAAAGTGAGAAAAATAATTTTAATTCTGTATAAAACGTGACTGAAATTAGTGCCAAAACATTTGATTTGTAGAAATCATCTAATGATTAGATTCTAATCATTGTTTAGTAATTAATGAGTGGTTATGTATATAGTTATATATTTTGTGCGAATAATTACGTAACTATTATCTCATATGATAAATAAAAATTACAGAAAAACAGTTATAATAAAAAATATTCAGTAATCCTCTCAACAGAAAACAAGTTTTAAGTTTAATTTTTACAAAAAACATCTCCACTCGTGACAAGTGTTTCGTTTATATTAATCGATGACTGCATTCACTGGCAGTGAAGAAGTGATAGGAATTCACAGGAAATAACTACAGTATCACTGATTGTATACATAATTGGTATAAAACAGTATTTATAATAAATTCATGATAAATAATGACAAAATACATACTTCCGTGGGCTGTGAGCACCGATGGTTTGCTCTGCACATCGTTCACGTTTGCCACTCCGATGTTTCCGTCTGACAAATAAATCATATAATAATTGTCATTACATTTACCATCATTTGTAACCAAAATAAGCACATATTTATAATTAAAAATCTAGTTAAAACGAATATTACAAATACAATACCGTCTCGATTATAGGCGATTAATGAAGCGCTCGACGCGATTAGGTTTGAATGTACGGCAAAGTTGTTGATATTGATATCGTCGGTAATCCAGGCCTTGATTTAAGCCATAAAAATATTAATACAATTTATCATTTATTTTCATGATTAAAAACGTGATAACTATTTTGGCAACAATTTATTACTCAATTGATTGATCGCCAGTAAATAATTGATAATAACTGGGCGTTGACTACAAGTATTGTAACAATAATTCACACGTAATGTAAAAGTTTTGGATTAAGTATTTTTAAAAAGTTTTACAATAATTTGACTAAACTATTAAAAATTACTCATTTAACTCGTTGTTTAAATCACATTACATAGAAAAAACATTTAATTAAACAAAATGCTAGTCAAATTAAGGTAAACTAACGTGGGTTAAAATATTGAAAAATTTCAAGTTTAAAAAATAGATTCAAAAAACATAAACATGAGCAAAAATTAAATGCAATTAACAGCATGGTCAAATAAAAAACAACAAATTAACAAGGAAAACAAGGAACCATATGGTGACTAAATACACCATTGGTGGGCGGGGTCTATGGGTGCCGGCATTTGTTCAAACATTTA